AACACCGTAATAATAATTTCTACATTTATTAATATTTCAAAATCAATATTAAGCTGCAACTTTAATATATTTCGAAATTATCAACAAAAAAGGAAAAGAAAAAAGAGCAAAATCAAGACAAACTAAGATAATAATTCTTTTCTAAACTTTTTTAAAGATATAATTTTATACATTTTTCAGAGCTCTAAAATATTAGCCTTTAAGATACTTCAATATTACCAAAAAACAAAGTAAAATTAAGAGAAACTAAGATTATATTTCACATATTTTTCAATGTTCAAATATAAATAAGAAAATAAACATTTCTCGATATCCTAAAATCAGATTATTATTTGGCATACATGGCAGAGATTATAAGTGAAGCTATCATAATTATCAATTACGATAATCGGCCTCTTTGCCTGCTTAGCATTATTCGATAATTCAACACAAGTAACGAATCTATTCTGCGATATAAAAGTGAAAGGTGTTTTTTCGAGCCGCTTTTTGCTTCTTATTCGAAGAAGGGAGCTGCCAGAGCCGAAGAGAATTGGAAAAGCTAGGGTATTTTTGTGAAAATAAAGCGAGATAGATGTGTTTTTGATGTTAATGTGAATGACGGGAGATTGTAAAGAGGAGGGAGGGACGATAATGCCGGCCATAAGAGATTGATGAGATGAATGAAACGCTGACGTTTGAGATTGTGATTGGATGCCGGAGATCTAAAACGGCGGCAATGGTGAAAGGGTGGAAGTTTTTTTTTCCTTTAGAAGAAAATCGGAGGCGTTGATAAAGGCGGGTTTCATATTCATAATAACTTCTAGAATTGAATTAGGTCTCATTTGTTTGCACTTAATGGAAGTTTAAATCTTAATCATTCAGATCTCAGACATTAAGTGCGTTTGTTTTTAAAGTTTGAATCTTAATTATTCAGATCTTGATCATTAAGTGTGTTTGTTTTTTTACTTCACAACCATTTAATAGATCTGAATAGGTCTGTGTGATTAAGATCTATAACATAGACTTAATTTCATTAAGATGCTATCACATATTCATTATTAACTGTCGCCACCGCCTATCATTATCAACTACCACTATGCTGTCACCACCACCACCACCACCACCTCAACCACCACCACGCCACCATCATCCTCAATCATAGCCTCCACCATTATCGACCATCAGCACCCACTATCCCCACCACTTCGACCACCATCATTCTCACCCACAATCAGCACTCATCCACCTTAACTACCACAACTGACCATCCCATCACCATCAACAACCACAGGTGGCACTGCTCATCATTATAACCTACCACCACTCACCCCTCACCTTCCTCAGTCACAACTACTATCACCAACCACCACTATCATCCTCAATCATAATCGCCGCCACTATCATTCACTACTCGCTACTAGCATGAACCACAATCATCAACCAAAACTACCACCAACCACAGTTTGCATTCACCCGTTAGCCATCACCACAACAACTATCATATTTTAAAAAATAATATATTTTATTGATAAAATATTAGATTAATTACTTCGTTTGAATTTTATGTTTATTAATTTTCAAATAAAGATAAATTTTATACATTCAGACGTTAAAAATCAAACAGTTTTAATTATTTCTATTCAGATCTTAATACACATCTTAATACATTCAGATGTGCATTCAGATTCAGATGTCTTAATCTTAATACATATCTTAATATTCAGATGTATATTCAGATTCAGATGTCTTAATCTTAAAAAAAACAAATGAGGCCTTAGAGTCTCTACTACCGGCTACTGCTTACATTAGTATTTCAAAAATTTAGCCAAATATAATTATGTGATATGTACAAGTAGACCTTATTTTGCAGAAATGACATCAGGTAGTTACTTTACAGTTTACATGGTTTTATTTAAGAATTAGCCAATAAATCCTGAATTTTAATTTTTTTAGTTCAAATTTTTTGGTTTAAAATTTTAGAACAAAATATATACTTATCCCTAGTTTATTTCTATTGCTTTGCTCTTGATAACCAATACATGTAAGGTCATGCATTGGCAAAATTTTGCTCTTTCCTAATGTTTCTGGGGTCTATAAATTGAGTTTACGGGCATGGTAGTCGAAAATGTCTGTGCCTAAATATTTTTGCAAATGGTGGACTCCTTTATTTTATTTATTTTTCATTTCTGAATTAAATGGAGAGTGTTGGAGCACTAGAGAAATTTTTTATATTTGGTATTTAATTCACTTATTAACTTGATTTCTTATGTGTATACATGAAAAATTTGTTCTCTTACCTCGATTAAATTTACAAAAAAAAAAAATATGTATTTCACAAATTTATTGTTTTCTTTCATGACTGTCAAATTGACTAGTATCAAATAAAGAAAACGTGGCGACCAACCAGTATTTTACTTAAGGCTGTATTGTGGTCCGGGCCCAGCCCGGGACCGCGAGCTCAAATAGGCTTTGGGCTAAACGGTCTAGCCCGTATGGTCCGGTCCCAAGCGGTCTTAGGAGCCCACTGTGGGCCGGTCTATCATGGAGAGACTGCGAGCCCGGATCGGCTGGCGTGCCTGGGCTGGTTCAACCGGGCCTAACGGACCAAACAACTATTTTACATTTTTTTTAAATTGGCCAACGGTTGGAAGTTTAAAAACTAGCCGTTGGCCTACCAATTTAGCCATTTGGCTTTTTAAAAAATAGCCATTTCCCCCAAACTTTGTTTTAACTCCAAACTTTTTATAATTACATTTTTTTTTCTATTTTCAACTATAAATTTTTTATTTTTACTCACAAAATCATCAATCTCTCTCTAATTTTCTTCTATAATTGCTTACTTTATTATGTAATTTGTGAAAAATGTGAAGTTGGTGAATTGAAGTATTCAAGTCTTTAACGATATACAATTTTTAAGAAGTTGTTCGTCAATTCGGTAAAGTCGTTCCAACTCTTAAGTTTTAATATTATAGTTTTGTTTGTTTTAGTTTATATAATTATAATTATTATGGACTTTTCTTTAAAAAAAATGTTTGGTGGTAAGGGAAATCTAAAATTGGTGAATTTAGTAGCCAAGCTACTACTACTCCTCTGGCTCTCCGACGCAGACCCGTTACCCGTCCTCCTCCACCTATTATTCTTGATAGTGATAACCCTTGTTTTCAATTTACCGATAGTTAATTTTGCCATGATATTGCACCAGGTCAACAATTAAATGATGAATATATGAATGCTCTTTATGGTAATCCAACTATCGATGAAAATGATGAGGAAAATGATGATTTAGATGAAACACAACCGGATTTAGTTGATACACCTACTAGTCTTGTTGTTAACCCAACTAATAATAATCCAAATGATGTCCCGCCTGAACTTCCTATAGTAACCCCTACTTTTAATAGACAACCTTCTAGACGGTGCAAAATATCTCTTGTTTGACACTTTTTTATTTAACTATGAGATTAAAATAAGGTTAAGTGTAAAACTTGTGGGACTTTGATGACTCATAAATTTACTGGAGACTGCAGCGGTAGATGTACTTTAACTAGACACATAAAGACACACCCTAAAGATAAAGCTAGATTTATTCAAATGAAAGCTACGCAAGAGGGGACAAGTGTAAGTACTTAGGTTAACCCTAGTACCGGGTCAAATCTAGTTCAACCGGAAATTAACACTGTTATCGGTGGTATTTTATATTACGATCCAAATAAAGATCGTGAAGAATTGGCAAAAATGATTACTGTTATGTGCTTACCCTATAGTTTTCCTTCTAACCCTCACTTTGTGCATTATATTAGAAGAGTTTTTAGCTTATAAAGGATGACCTCATGCAACTGTAAAGAACGATATTTATAAATATAAACATGAATATGAATAATATTTGTGCTATTTATTTACTCATATAAATTATCGCGTTGTTATTACTACTGATATTGGTAGAAGTGGTAATGACTGTGATTATCTTACTGTTACCACTCATTGGATTGATGAGGAATGGAAAATGCAAAAACGCATTATTGCTTATAGAATAATTAATTCACGTCGCACAGGTAAGTTTATTGCTAACGCAATTGCAAATAGTTGTAGATATTTTTGCATTAGAGATAAAATAATGTCAGTTTCAATAGATAATGCTTCTAGTAACAGTAATGCTATAGGCTTGCTTACAACTACACTAAATCCTGCATTTAGTAATATTTTTCATGTTAGATGTATTTGTCACATTTACCATTTAATTGTCGGTGGTGATGTGAAAATATTAAGTGTTGAAATTGAAAAGGTTAAGATGACTCTTAATTGCCTTTTTTATTCAAACCGTAGAAGTAGGCTTAGAGAATATTTTTAAAAATGTGATGAATTTGGCCTTAGAGAAAGAAAGGTTCCTAAACCTTGTCCGACTAGATGGAATTACATGTATGACCTTTTAATGGTGGTATTAACACCTTGTTGTGCTCATTCCATTGGGGGAAGGAAGACTAAGAAATATATTACCATTTTTTATTAATGTTGTAATAATAAAAATTATAAAGGATTCCCTTGAATATTTCTTTACAATTTTTTTTTGTGTTTAAATTTGAATTAGAAGATTTAAGTCACAATTATATAATATAATTTACAAGAAATTACCTTAGATAAAATAATTTCAAAAAAAATAGCCCGGAACACTTAGGTCCGTTTAGGCCCGTGGGCCCAACCCACTTAGCCCCGGGACCATGTGGGCTTAGGCCCATAGTGGGCCGGTTCCACCCTCTAGGACCGTTTGGACCCGGAACTGCTTGGGCCAGACCCACCAGAGCTCGGGACGGTTTGACCTGGCCCGTTTAACCCATTTAGACCCGGGACCGGACCACAATACAACCTTAATTTTACTTCAGATTCTGACGAGGCCAAAATTTAAAAGAATTTGTGTAAATCTCCCTATTCATAGTAGGGAAATAGAAAGGCCCAACTAGAAGCCCAAATTAAGTCCAGATGAATTGATTTGAGAAAGCCCAACTATCTGTGTCTACTACAACAGTTCGGAATCTTCGGACCCTCCGGCATAGCCCGATTCACTTTTCGGAGCAATATTTTCCACCTTCCGGTGGAACCTTTCAGAGTGTACGTGAAAGCACAACAATGGCGTTTTGGTGTAGAGTGAACAACTCCAAAATCAAAACCGTATCAATTCACCTGAAAAGGTCTTATTTTCAATGCCAAGGTTCCAATTCGTTCATTGCCAATGCTTCTTCACATACTTCAGTTCGGATTCTCAGTAACCCTAGCTTAACTATCCAGAAAAGTCCATTTGAATTTGCACAAAGTGTTAGGTTTTTCGCAGCACCTGTACAGGTAAGCTAAGCAATTAAGATCACGTAGTTGTTTTATGTCCATTGATAATCATGCGTGTAGTGATGAGTGTAACTGATTTTGCAGGTGAAAACGAGGAAGGAAGAGAAGGATTCGAGTGGGCCCAGATTGAATCAGGAAATCAAAGCAGATTTTGTTAGGCTTGTCGGCGATGAAGGTGATTTTATAACTCTTCTTTGTACTTTGTCGGTGTTTTTTTTAATTTGTTTCATGAATAAGGAAGTTCGAACTTTTTAGTGGGAGTAGTAGATACCTTGTGGAGTAGTCGAGGGGAAAAAGTGAAGGTTGAATTTGTATGAAGTTTTTATGAAGCAAGATGCTAAGATCAGCATAGTATGGTAGTACAGTATATTGTGCTTAATGTTGAAAGAAAGTCACATTTTTATGGATTCTGACTTCCAAATTTTAATAGGGTTGGCATATGAGATGTAACCTCTAGGAACAGCTTTTGTTGGAAAACTCAAAATGCAAATTAAATGGTCAAAGTTCCTTGGTGTGTGAATATGTTACCCGGGTACCCATAATTAGGATTCTCAATTTCACTCTTCATCCAAAAAAAAAAAAGGATTCTCAGTTTCACATGTTATGACTAGAGTTGCTTATTGGAGCTAGAAGTATAGAAAGTACATTGCTAAATGGAACAGATAACCAAAAAAAAAAAAAAAAATTAGTTGTTTTATTTTTCTTAATAGTCATGGCTGAAAGCATCGCAAAGTATTTTAGCAGAGAACCAAGAATTAGCAAGAGGTTGGTGCTGGAGTAACATGTAAGAAGGATGAAAGCTTAATGAACATTGGAATAATTCCTTATGCATCATACAAAAGGTTAAAATGTGTTGAAGAATTGCCGGATGCTCTACTATATATCAAGCGTTAGAAATAGTATTTAAAGCAATGTTGTTTTGAAATTCTGGACCAAGCAAAGGACTCCATTTATCAAGTTTGAGATTCTTTATGCCTGAAGTCTCGAAGTTATAAAACCAGTAATCTTATGAATCTGTAATTGAATTATAAAGCCAAAACTTAAAGAGATTGAAATGGAATTAAATCAGAGTAGTCTAGTAAAGAAAAAATGAATTCTAACCTATTCACCAAACAATTGATTCTGAGCTGCACATGAAACTCAGCATATTTTTGCTTTGCATCTGTTTGGACAGCACGGTCTAGTTACCCCGAGACATATGTTCATGGCTTTTGGTTGTACACTTTTCTTGTATTACTTTGCCTTACTTCTGTTTAAGAAAATAATATTAGTGAAAGCTTTAGTTTTTTGTTTTGAGTTTTCTCCCTTAGTATGTAAAATGAGAAGAAAAGAGGTAGCTTTAGTGCTCTGGGTTTAAGTCAAGCAGTAGACATTGTTCTAACTGTTATACGCATGTCTCAGAATCTAGTGTAGATTAATTGCTATTATATGATACAGTTTTTGTTTATTTCCTATTATTTCAGGTCTTATTCTTTGTATTTTTGCAGGTCATCGCGTAGTGTCAATATGTGAGGCATGGGAACTTGCAAGAAGTCTCAATCTTGATTTGGTGGAGGTAAGAAGTGTCAATCATGAGGCTTACTTACAGTTACAAGAGCGATACTACTGACAGGAAAACATACTAGGATAAACTAACGCAAATGTCAAATTAATGCTTATTATAACATGAAAACACAATGAGGGAAATAAACTTTCTCGCTGAAGATCTTTTCTGGTTCATAAGCAGCGTTTGGGCTTATTTGTTGCTTTCCTTGTTACCTTGGTACAGTGATGACTGAGCAAGTCTGTCATATTGAGCTTGATCGTTTCTTGTTGATAGGACAGTTTCCCTTTGTATCATTCTTCCCTTTCTTGACTGATTCTGTCCTCTTCGTTTCACGTCTTGTATTACTCAATTCTGCTCTCTTCAATTCACGTCATAGCAGCTCAATATGCAATTAAGCGGGGCTAACAAGAAAAGTCACAAAGAACTGACTTTTGTCAATCTGATGGATTAAAGTTTTGGTTTAGTTGTCAACTCATCTTACAAGATTTGAAACTTCTTATTAATTCGATTCTGTTGCAATGTAGAGTGCCTGTGTACATAGGCCGTGGTTGAAATGTTCTCAAATCTGGTCATGGACTGGATAAGACGATTGCTAAGAGAAAATTAAGTGAAAAGACGTCTAGTTTATCGAAAAACAAAGGTCTTTTGTTCGTTGAAAGAAGTGTATATAAACATTTTCTTGGCTTTCTTGCTACTAGGAGAAGATTATATTGAGAAGGATGTCTTATTTTCGCCACAAGCCGTAAAAAGTAGTTTTTCAACCAATTTTAAGTAATACAGATATGTGAAGATGAGGTGTGTGCATATCAAGTATGACATTATTTGGTTAGTGAACTTAAGAAGTCAGGATAAGGAGGGACGTACACCTACTTCCCTTACTGAAGTTTGTAAGCTTCTCCATATATTCTGGTAAGACAAGAAAGCATATGGGAATTAGTGATAGGGAATTAATCATATTTTCATATACCAAATGGAAGGATAGTATCAAAAAAAAAAGTAGTATTAAAAAAAAAAGAGAACCTATACCAAATGGGAGGACAAATGGGAAAAAGAAGGCTTGTAAAGATACTTCGGATGTGAAATGTCTCTCTAATTAACAACTTCTCTTGCCAAATGATGTGGCTTCCTAATCTTTGGAAAGAGTTGAAGTTGCTAATCCATTCTTCTGCAATTCTCTATATCCTTCTTCACTTCCACTTTTAGCTTAAATCCGACATCAATAGGGAAGGAATAAGGGAAGGGGTCTAATAGGTGTTAGTATATGGTTTCCCAATAAGGCAGGACCATTTAATAATATGTGGTTCCATCTGATATACTGTATGCTAAATTGGCTTTTGTGATTTTGCAGGTGTCACGAAATGCCAAACCACCAGTCTGCAAAATTATGGACTACCACAAAGAGAAGTATCAACAACAATTAAAGGACAATGCTAAAAAAAGCAAGGTACGTTCTCCCTCAATAATGCCTGTGTATTAGAGGTGTTGCTAGCATCAGTTAATTGGTGTTTATTTTGTATCTCAAGCCAATCTTTAGCTTCAATATCATATAAATGTGGTATTGATCGTGAGTTAAAACTGTTTAATTAGAGCTGCCAAGTCTAGTTGAGGCTTGACTCTGGAAAAGTTTGATGAAGTCGAGCTCAACTAAGCTACCTCCATTCTTTTTGGCTCAAATTAATTCTTTAAGGTCAAGTGATCTGAAGCATTGAAGCTTGGATCCACTTGTTCTTCTACTGCATCTTTAATGATGATATTCCATACTTGATTTATGTTTATATATGTAGGAAGAAGGTGATTTTGTAAGTTTACTGGTAAAATCTCTCCCTATCACATAGAATCTGACCTTGAAAGTCCTAGGTGTTCTTACTGGTGGAAATTTATGGGCTGTTCGCACCCGTGTGGCCTAGTGGTCGTGAGTTTAGAACCATGAGGTCTTAGGTTCAATTCCTAACAGAGACAATAAACACTAGGTGATTTCTTCCCATCTGTCTAAGCCTTGGTAGATAAAGTTACCTGGTACCTGTTGGTGGTGGGAGGTAGCAGGTATCCCGTGGAATTTGCTTTGATGCGCGCAAGCTAGCCCGAACACCACGGTTATCAAACTTTTTTTTTAAAATCTATGGGCTGTCTATTGGAAATTGCCAAGTGTTAACATAATCCGGATATTTTTTTAGGTCACATAAGTCTCCCAGATGCAAAACTGCTTCCATGATGTTGAAAATTGGATATGCATGATTAAAACTGTAATAAATGATCACAACAGATAATAGTAGTTCTCCTTGTAAAAAACGCAGGTAATAGTAGTTCTTANCCCTCTTAGGGATGACTTGAGAATCAAGCCTCACTTCCACTCCCGCTTCCGTCGGCTCGGCCCCAAATTTGCACTCGAGGTATTCCATCTTCGTCCTGCTCAACCTGAAACCTTTTGACTCAAGGATATGCCTCCAAACCTCTAGCCTCTCGCTGACGCCGCGTCTTGTCTCGTCAATTAGGACTATGTCATCAACAAATAGCATGCACCATGGCACCTCCCCTTGAATATGATGCATTATGGCATCCATCACCAGGGCAAATAGGAAAGGGCTGAACGCAGACCCTTGGTGCAACCCCGTAAAAATCGGAAAATGCTCGGAGTCGCCTTCTGCTGTCCTAACCCGAGTCTTAGCTCCATCATACATGTCCTTAATCACCCTAATGTAGGCAACCAGGACCCCTTTAGCCTCTAAGCATCTCCATAAGACCTCCGTAGGAACCATGTCATACGCTTTCTCTAGATCGATAAACACCATGTGGAGATCCTTCTTCTTATCCCTGTATTGTTCCACCATCCTCCTAATAAGGTGGATAGCTTCTGTGGTAGATC